ATAAATCTGTTACCAAAAAAATAAAATAAAAATAAAAGCAAAGTAGAATTCAGTAGCAGAACATAAAACTTTGCAGAGCTTTTTGGTCATCAAAGAGATGGCAGGAGCAGGGCAGGGCTGGCTGGAGTTGCCAGCATGATGAGCAAAAGGAGCTCAGCCCCAGTACCCACACTTCCCTTTGAACGCTGGCTCTGCCTCTGAGCAGCCATGGGGCCCTGGGCAGCCTCTCCACTTTTCTCTGTTACATCTATTACATGAGGGCAATCAACTTGACCTCCAGGACTATTGTAAGAATTAGGAATTATATTATTTAAAGTGCCTGGCACATTGTAGGCATTTGTTACTGGTAGTGTGATGTATTATTAGCTATTTTTACAATTGGGGTATTTCAAAGGTTCATTTGCAAGTTCAGTAGCAAGGATGAAAACTGTCATTCTTTTTTTCTCTATGGAGAAAATCTTCCAAGTCTTTATTTGATTCCTAGGAAAGCACAGGGCAGCCTATTTAACTCTCTCTCTCTATAAGGAACCCTTTATACTGATGCCCTAGGCTGAATTCCAGCGCCTAAGAGAAGCCATGAGAACAAAAGTGAAGAGGACAAAAAAGTTTTCTGTCTTTTATTTCAGTTTGAACAGTTTGTCAGGTTTTTTAAGATTATAAAAAATGTACATTAAAAAACATTGAAAATTCCGGTATAACATAAAAGAAAAAAAAAACAAAAATAATCTGTGATTCTGTCAGTCTACATTATTGCAGTGTTTTTCTTGGTGTTAGTTTTTAACAAAATGGGAATCATGCAGCACGTACTATTTATTAAGAACTTCTCTCTTATCAAGATATCAGTAGCATTCTTGGACATTGTGATGTTTATTGACTACGTTATATACCATATTAGGAATAAACCATGTTTGCTTTACCTAGTCTGCTACTATTGGAAATAGGGGTAGCAGTGAATTTTTGCTATTGTAAATAATGGTGTCATGAACTATCTTCACCATAAATCTTGGCTACAGCTCTGTTACTATTTTAGAAATAATTCTTCAGAATAAAATTCACAGGAAATGAGGTATGACATTCTTGGGATTTTTGATGCTTACTGGTGTATTGTCTCCCAGAAAGAATGTGCAAATTTAGGTGGCTGAAAACAACATATAAAATTGACTATTTCCCTCTATTCTCATTGAGATTGAGTATAATCAGTTTTTATCCTTTATTAGTCTGGGAGATGGCAAATAATACCCGACCTGTCTTTAAAGTTCAGAAATTGTATGTTTGTCCTCATCTGTTTCTGGAACCCAAATCCCATCTTTTAGGCCTCAGTTCCTAAATCATGGGGGTGCTTAGTGCCCCATATTGGCCCTCAATATCCTGCTCTTCTCCCCTAAGAGCATTTCTTTTGCCCCCATCAAGACATTCTTGGCCTAAAAGGTGTTGCTTTCCTGTTCTCCTCATTGGACATGTCTATTCTTTCAAAGCTATTTATCTCAAGGAGGTTTGGGAAAAAAGCAGTCGGATAAGGTGATTTCTTCCTAATTGTTGAATGATTAATAGCACTTCCACTTTTACCTTTAAGAGAGTATTCTTAATAACAAAATGTCGGAGAGTCTCTAGGGATATTATTTTGGATCTATTAACAGAATGAAGTGAAAACGAGGACCAGTTGAAAGTAGAGATTTTTAGCTGGGGATGTACCACTTCACTTACCTTGGAACCCGTGCCCGAGCAGCTCTCCTGGGCTAGTTCCAATTTCTCAGCTTCTTTCCTTTCTCTTCTGACACCTCCAATGACATGGCTCCCGACCCTGGCTGCATAATGTAACTCCAAGTCCTGGGATAATCCCCAGAAATCTGACTTAATTAACCTGGAGTGATCCCCAGGTTCTGTATTTTCAAAAGCTCCCCAGGCAATACCTGCATCGAGAACTATTGTTCTAATAATTTTCCTCCGCAGAGCTAAACTTTTCACCCAGGCTCCCCCTGCAGGGACTGGGGACCATGTAGAAAAAGGCCAAATGAAAGAAAAGGCAAACCAAAAAAAAAAAAAGAAGAAGAAGAAGAAGAAGAAAACAACCAACCAAGCAAACCCTCATTATGTAAAAACTTGAAAGAGAGAAATGGATGGCGATGTGGGGAGAGGACAAGACCCACAATCAGAACAGATGATCCTACAGACACCCATTGAGCAGACCTCTCCTCTCAGGCCAGTGCCTTCTGTAACATGAATAGATGATAGATAACTAATTGGAGGGGACACTCACTGTGGCCTCTATAAATACATTCTTCTCTACTGTAGCCCTGATGCCTAGCAGGGTGCTTGGCCTTTAGGGAGTATTTAGAACTTTTATTCTGAACTAGTTACTAACGCCCTTCCAGTCTAGAGTCTACCTGCAGATACAGTCCCATATGTTATGCGGATGTATTCAAATGAGTATGCAAATGAACATGTTTAAAAAGGACTTACAATTGACTGTCTTCCCCAAATAACCCTGAAAGAAGTCAAATGTTCATCACCAAGAAACACCTGACAGATTCTCTGTCTCATTAGCAGAATCCCTGTGTTCAGGACCCAAACCCTGGTCTTGTCTGAGGACAACTGCCTTTGGGAGGAAGTGGGACCACCAGGCTGAGAAGCCTCTGGGTTCTCTTCTTCACCCCAAGCAGATGTTCAGGGTTGAAGTGGAGACTAACTTTGAGAGATCTGGCAGAAAACACATCGGGTGTCCTATATCTGGGATGCTCTAAGCAGATGGGTCACAGCTGCCCAGGTGCAAATACAGCTGGGCTCCAAGCCTGGTGCTGTGCTTCTCCCAGGGCAGCCTGGGAGCTCAAGGGCACCAGCCATCTGGGAGCTCAGGGGCACCAGCTCTTCACTTGCCACTCTGAGGGGCTGCCACACCTCTGTGGTGATCCTCAGTGTTTTCTTCCCAGCTGGCTGCTTTGGGGCTGCTCCAGTAGACTCTACCAAGGCAGGTCTGTTTTACCTGCAGAAATAGCTCTAAATCCATCACTTGCTTTGCATTTTCACTGCTGCTACTTCAGGTGAGATCCTCTCATTCTGCCTCCGGGGACTCTGCAAGCAATAGGACCTGTGAGTTCTGCCTCCAGCCTTGACCCCTCCCAGCTGCTACCATTGGCTCTTGTGCTAGCTGATTCTTTGAATAAACATCTCCAACCCTGATATTACCATCCTAGAGAGCCCTCATGGACTCCCATGTGCTAAAGCTGTAATTTTCATCTTTGGCTGCACATTAGAACCACCCAAGGAGCTTTTTAAAAAATGTAGATGCTTAGGGCCCATGCCCAGGGATGCTGATGGAATTGGTTTGGGAAAAGTGCTCTTCAGAATCATTTGTCAAAGGATATTGTTTAAAGTCCTCCTGAGCCTGGCACGTGAGACCCCTGGGAGATTGGATCCTCTTTCCAGCTCCCTTCATATTGGCATCTCCTGCTTCTCAGTCCAGACCTTTGTTTCTTTATACAGGCTCTGTGTCTCCTGGAACCCTTGCTCCCAGAATCACAAACTCTTGCTCATTTTCCACAACTCCCCTTAACTGTCACCCACTTCTGTGAAACATTCTTGGGATCCTCTCATGGAGTTAGTTAGACTTTCTTTCTTCTCTGCTCATATGTTGCTGTTCCACCCAGAATTGCAAAAGGTGGTGTTGTTTGCTTACTTCTCTGTCTACCCCACTAGCCTGAACTCAAAAGACGTTATTTTAATCTTCCTTGCATATCTCTCTGCCTCTTAACAATGGACTACCCTAGGGTAGAGATCATGTGATGTTAATATCCATACCCTCTAATGCCGAAGACCATTTCGTATTTGTCGCTCTGTTCATTTTTTAAGCTAACATGACTGCCAACGTATGATTGAAATGAACTATTCTGCATTAGCTGCTGGACTAACTGGTGTTATCCCCACAATGGCCTGTTAAGTACAGTCATTGTCCTCTTTGCAAGTGAGGAAACTGACACAATGAGAGGAAAGACAACTCAACGTGTAACAGGGCACAATAAATGACTGTTTAGAATTTAGAATTGTGTGGCTATGTGCTCTTGCCACACAAAGTCTTTGTAACCAATCAGTTAATATGCCTTTATTTTCTTCAGCAAGCACTTTGCACCAACAGGACACAGAGTCTTCATAGATGATAAACTCTTTAAAGGAAATAGTTGAAACCTCATGACTAGTTCCCAATACAGTTTTCTCAGTAAAGTGGGTCAGCAGCACAGGGTACACCAAAGACAGCTGGAGCAATGGAATAGGAGAGAAAAGAACTTTACAAAACCACCCACCTTTCTTCCAGTGCCTTTAGAGACAGTCATGCCTCATTTCATTCGATCCCTTTGACAGTGATAAGGGGCAGGAATTATAATATTTACAGATGATAAAATCAGAGCTTAATGAAGGTGAGTAACTTAGACAATGTCACCTAATTTAGAATGAAAAATGCTGCAATTGGATTAGTATGTTACCTCTCTCCAACAGCAGGCTGCCTCTGCCTGGTACATCATTGGAATCCAGCTTTCCTCATCTACTTTAAAAATAGCTCACTTTTTCCTAAAATTGTTTGTAGGAAAGTGTGAGAAAACTAAAATTGCCCATAACTCTACCACTCAGATAAAATTGCTGGTAATATTTTGAGTTCTTTTATTTTTCTGTTTTTTTCCTCTGCATTTATACAACAACAGATCAGAATATGTGACATAACTTTGGTTGTGGTATGTACAACATTTTGTATTTTTCCCTTTTGTTTTTAAACAAAACATATCAGAAGCAGTTTAGCCATCTTTTTTCAAAAAGAAAGGGATTAGAATGAAGTGGTACAAAGAGGAAGAACAATGCTTTTTATGAACCTTCCAAGGGCTTGTATCCAGCCGAGTGAGGAGTGGGTTTGCTCTGAGAAGGGCATGGACGGCAGCAGGCTGGGAAATGAACCCCCTTTCTCCAGGCCTTCCGGACCCATCATCTCTAGGCTTGCTCTCTTGTTTCTCTTGCAGGCAGCAACTTGAATGATGGCTTGTGGCACTCAGTTAGCATCAACGCCAGGAGGAACCGCATCACACTCACTCTGGATAATGAAGCAGCACCCCCAGCTCCTGACAGCACTTGGGTGCAGATTTATTCTGGAAATAGCTACTACTTTGGAGGTAAATTCTCCAGCCTTTAAGAGGGAAAATAAACAAGGGAGGGAAAATGAAGTGGGCAATTATTTCGCTATGGTGGTTCTGGCTTGCTCAATTAGACAATTATCCCCCCTGCCCAACATACACACACACATCCTCAATCTCAAAATAGTGAGAAGCAAAATCTCTCACAGCTGTGTGCAAATATAAATTATCTAGGTCAGTGCTGAGGAAGAAAAGAACTTTAGCTACAAGAGCTGGTGTTATATAACACATCCAAAGGAGATTTTTGTAGCCATGCCAAGCCCTGTGATCACATGGGAAAGGAGAAACTCAGTTCGAAACTTGGAGAAAGTGTATCAAGAGTCAGCAGTACCTGCAAGAGGCAAAATCCAGGTGGAAAGGCACAACCAGCATGCTCAGCACCTGGGTCCCTCCCCTGCCACTTTCCTCTCTTAGTCCCCTGTCCCCTCCTTCCCCACATTCCTAGAGATCATGCCCACAGAGAGCCAGGAATGAGGTGGAACTAGGAGGCCCATGAACTTGTAACTCCACGTGTGGAAGCCAGTTCAGATTGTTCAGATTCTGCCTTCTCTGATGTTAAGTGAATCCTGGGAACCTTTCCAATGACAGAAACACAAGGGCAAGCTGATGGGGAAGAAAAACATATAATTAGGCATCTACTGAATTTTTATAAATGCATATATATGTATGTATTTAGTCTTTCAAAAGTATTTTTCAATAAAAATTAATATCTAGTTTCATAGTTAGTTGTTTGTATTATAGAAACAATCTCTGAAAATGATGTAACCTCAATAGCTGTCTGACCTTGAGAAAGGTACTTATAGTCCCTAAACTTCCTAATCTGAAACATGGGGAAATAAGTTCACCTCCAAAATTTCAGGAAAAGTTAAGTACAACCAAAGTTTAAACGTATAGCACAGAGTGTGCCACATGGCAGGGGATGGGGAAACTGGCTCCACCTCCTTTAGATATAAGTCAGGGTCTGGTCTACAGTTTCCTTATTCTTTTCCTATTAGTAAATTGAAGAGAAGTATTGTATAAAATTATGCATAGTCTCTTAAACAGAATTTACAGGTCACTTCTCTCATACCAATGGAATGTGGTTAAAGCTTTAAAATGCAAAAGGGATTTTGCACAGGTGCAGTGTATATCTCAACATCTCCTAGGAGGGAAGCAATATCTTTGTGGCTTGATTTTAGGGTGAGGAAGGGCCTGTGACCTTTACCTCAAATCTCCTCCCCCTGTGCATGGCTTAACAAATTCCTTTAGGAAGGGAATACACGTCCAGTCTCTGCAAAAGTTTTATGACTTACCTCATTTAATTTATGCAGAAACCTTGTGCAGTACATAATACCCCCACGTAATAGATAATAAAACTGGTGTTTGCTGAGATGAAAGAATTTGTGCAACGCCATAGAGCTCATGAATTCAAATCCAGATCTGTGTTCCCACAGCCCACCAGTGAAAACAGAGATTGGAACAAATGTATTATAAAGATCGTAGAACAAGGGTGTTGGGGTCCACAAAGATAACCTCACAGACCGAATAATTGTGCATCTTACGCAATATTTCAGCATCAGAGGGAAAAACGCTATCTTGAATTTATTCCTGAGGGAAATGTTTGTTACTAATCCTGATACAATAAGCATCTGACATGCCTCAGAGACAAAATGGCTGTCCTGCCTCAGTTGAAGGACTGTTCTTAGTGGCAAGTTTTAAGGGACCCTGGGTTTAGAACGTGAAGATTTATCAGTGATTTGAACAGTGTTTAAACAAACGCCCCACACGTAGACTGTAAACTTAAGGAAGGTGAAAAATGAGTTTCAGTAATAATAGTCAACTTACATAAATTCTCTCTACAGCTTCAATTAGAAATTGTAGCATCTCTCTTCGTTTTATAGTGTGCCTGTGAGCTGTTAACCAGCTGCTGGGCTTCAGCCCAGCAGTGACTGTCTATTAAAGATGGCTGAAATAATTCCCAGTTATTTATGGGTTATTACCATGGTTTCAAGCTTGCATTCCCATATGCTCTGAACCTATTAAAGCCATTGGGATGGAGTTTGTAAGGAGCACAAGCACTCATATCCCTGAAAGGCTCTATACCCATCTTAATGAGAATTAGATATGCCCTGGTTGCAAGCTACACTAAATCAGTGTAATTTTTTTTTAAGAACACCCTTTAAAAAGGTATAGTGTTAACCTTTCCCATATGCTATTACAGCCCTAAAATGACATGCATTTAAACCCTTAGTTCCTTCTAAAACCAGCAAAATGTCTGATTTTGCTTTGCACATCACGTCAAAATTCCAGTTGCGCTCCTGTGTGTACCTTTCTCAGGAACTAAGCCTGTTAATGCTAACAATTAACCGGACAATTCCTCTGCTGCCATCCCTACCCAACCATCCCTACCCAAAGCATAATTTCCTTTGAAAGCGTAATTCAGAAAAGATATGTATTTCAAGACAGAACCAAAATTCTGAAGTAGCTATAATACGTTTCTTCCTTGGGATGAGTGAAGGATGCCATATGAAAGAATAGAAAATAGCTTACCCCAAGGAAAAAAAAAAAGTAAGAAGGAGACACCTGTTACAGTATTGATATTCCCTTTGCCATACTTATTATTTTCTCTACAGTGATGGAGTATGCCCTGTTTTGTACCAATTCTGTCCCCTCCCTGAGAATGCTAGGATTTACAACAAAAAGGGTGTGCACTGATGTGAATGAGAAAGCACCAAAATAATTAGACCTCAAGGTCTTCCATCAATAGGTCGCCAAAGCAATGACGGATCATTTCAGCATTTTTCTTCATCTTTTTTCTCTGTCCCACAGGGTGCCCCGACAATCTCACCGATTCCCAATGTTTAAATCCCATTAAGGCTTTCCAAGGCTGCATGAGGCTCATCTTTATTGATAACCAGCCCAAGGACCTCATTTCAGTTCAGCAAGGTTCCCTGGGGAATTTTAGTGATTTACACATTGATCTGTGTAGCATCAAAGACAGGTAATTATTGTCTCTTCTCCTCTGTTCTCCCACCCCCTTCCCATTCTCACTGTTCTAAATATGAATTTCTTTAAGCAAAATTCTAATCCACCGACATTAGCCACATTAGACATAATTGAGTTGCCTAATGGAAAATATTTCTGAAAGGATTTCAGGCCCAGAGAAAAATGGTTTAAATTAGTTGAGTCTCTCTTCATGTTGACTTGCAGCAAATGGGATATGCAAATTAAATCAAAATACAAATTTGTGAAAGGATTAAAATTTTATGCATAAACAACATTTGATTACTTTGAAGTTAAAGCAAAAAGGAGGAAGGAATTACTTCTCTCCTAAACCATTTCATTTTTCACTGCTGTGGGTGTCCTTTCTAACACAGACAGATGAGCATTGGACCATCTGAGAAGTCTGCAAAAGAGGTTCACGAATGCCCAATAACACACAACTACTCCTGGGTTTGGCTGTTTTTTGGTCTTACTGCCCCTACCACTGCTTCTCTGGTCCAGAGGAGATCAGAAAAACTCACTCTAGCTCTCCATTTCCCCTGAGATCTTGCCCTCCTTATAATAGAAGTTTGTAAATGCAAAGACACACTGCAGAAAACCAAAGAGGATGGATTCTGAATTTACATCAAAGTTTACCATGTTCTTCTTCTTTCCTCTCCAGAGCCTACCTCCTTCATTCTTCCAGTTCTTCTCACCCTTGTCAAAATATCATTTATAGAATGGGCGAATAATGTCTGTTCAGTGCTTGCCTGTGTGTTGATGAGACAGGGTCTCTGCTTATGTTTCATCAGGGAATAGATTAGCCATTACAATAAAGTGAGATACATGACCAAGAAGTGCACCCTTATTTGTCAGACACACAGCAGCAGCAACTTAGTCTGACCCCAGAGAATGAGTCCAAGAAGGTTTCAGAAGGTAGTGCTGAGTTGAATCTTAAAGGAGAAGACACTGGCAGGCTAGGCTGAGGTTGAGAGGGGAAGGGAGATTGGCGTAGAAGCAGGAGAAAGCATGGATTGCAAGTATTTCATCAACTCAAAATACTTTTTTGGCATTTGAAATCTCTAATAGTTGAGTTGGCAATATCTATTTTTCATAGTGGCATATAAAGTAATGGTATATCTTACAATTAGTGGTGTCTTAGATTAAATAATATATAGCTCAGTAGGGATGGTAGGTCACTGTGGATGGTGCACATGGTGTAAATATGTCCAGAGATGTGGGGGCAGGACCAGTCATGAAGAACTTTGTGTACCAGTGGGATTTGGTTTCATGCTCTTGGTGAGAACCATGGAGGAAGGTGGCTAGCTTTTCCTAGCAGAAAGAGTACTCAAGAAGAAGTGAGAAAGGTGGATTGGAAGAGAGCTTGCCTACAACTAGGCAGGTGATTGCCCAGTTGGGGAGAGGGATAATGAGTAGTAGCAGGTAACTCTACTGAGGGGCACAGAAATCGGCCATGCAGTACATAGTCTCTGCTAACGCTGAAATGAGCTGCATAACTTGGTGAAACTTTCCACACATTTCTCCGTTAACATCGCTATGCATGGGATCATCAACAAATCATGCAAATTTTCTGTCTCTTCTGCTTTATTTTTTTTTCTATTTGACCGGCTGAAAAAGTGGTAATAAAATATGTGCTTCATTAAAATGTGCTAGTTTAGCGCTCGGAGAATAAAAGTTATTGCAGGCAATGGTTGCCAGACCAATAGTGTTTAGTAATGGCGTGGGAGAAGCATCCTACTTCATCAGCCAGTGCAGCCTCTTCCAAAGTGTTGATCAATACAGGGAATATTTATCAATAGGGGTCTCTAATGCTACCTTAATTTTTAATCAAGCAAGCTCTCATTATTTTTGATTGCATGAAAGTCATTGCCATATACACCGCTTCATTACTTTTGTGTAATTGTAGTCTTGTATAATTGGATTACATACAATTGTGCTTTCGTTAATTGTATAATAAGGGATTGTGTTTAGTTTCGTGGGTAAATGGTTAAGTTTTTCTTGATTTACCAGGCGCTGTGTCTAACAGAAGGGAAAGCTGCGGCAAGGGACTGTGCTTGAGTCACTATTTCTTGAACTCATATTTAATGTTACCTGAAGAGGGGCAGGAGTTACAAGGGCAGGTGGTTTCTGAATCTGGTGTTTCACTTTTAATGTGTGAATCAGTGTGAACTGGATTTCAGGTTAAGTACAAACTCTTTGCCTTCAAGGAGCTTGCTATTTGGTGGGAGAGAGGAGGGGAATAGGCTGGCAGTGGTTTTCCTTACCTGGACAGCTGTCTGGAAAGCCCACAGAGGACAGCCTGAGAATTTCTTCTTACTCTGAGACTCCTTTCCAATCGCTTGTTACAGGCCGTAGAGACCCAGGTCTCCATCTGCCTCTTTGTGGTTATCCTACCCCTTCTTTTTCTCTCTCAAAGTGAAGTGGGATCCCACCCTGCCAGCTTTTCTTTTATGCTGGCCCCAACCCGGCATCTTACTAATACTTAAAGAGTCTTAGTGCTGGTCACGTGGGAAAATCTAAAGACATCTAAATCTAAATCTAAAGACATCTAAAGCAGCATTCCGGCCGGGCACGGTGGCTCACGCCTGTAATTCCAGGACTTTGGGAGGCCAAGGCAGGTGGATTAACTGAGGTCAGAAGTTTGAGATCAGCCCGGTCAATATGGTAAACCCTGTCTCTACTAAAAATACAAAAACCAGCCAGGCGTGGTGACACATGTCTAATCTCAGCTTCTTGGGAGGCCGAGACAGGAGAATCGCTTGAACCCAGGAGATGGAGGTTGCAATGAGCCGAGACAGTGCTACTACACTCCAGCCTGGGCGACAGAGTGAGATTCCGTCTCAAAAATAAATAAATAAATAAATAAATAAATAAATAAATAATAAAGTAGCATTCCTACCAGAGGCACCAATGTTCCAAAATCTCAAGGGCTCCCTCCAGTTTAGTTCGTTTAAGCAACTTCCTTTTGAGGTGGTACCTAAGACCCTGACATCTGCTGCCCGGTTTGCACTGTTTACAAACTACCTTTGACATTTCATCCTGAGCAAAAGCTGAAAGGGTCTCTTCTCAGGGATTAAGAAACTTTAACCGATGTGCATCTCAGGGATGGGCAAATTACCAAATCTTCTGGCTTCTGAGAGGAAAGGAGTTGGAAGAACTGGCCTTGCGCACAGCTCTGGAAGCAGGAAGGTGTTGGTGTTGGGCAGCTCCAGTGCCTGGCAGTGCATGGGCAGGATGGGGGAAGGAAGCGGCAGCAATTAGAATAAGGCATTCCTGACCCACACTGTGCCCTGTTCACGGTCCTTCTGAACCTCTAGGGCACAGTCTGCAGCTGCTGCCCCTCTCCTGCAGACCAAACCACCAGCCTCATAATCTCTGCACCCTAAGCCCCTGTCCTTCATAATAACCATCTTTCCAGCCTCTTTGACTTGAAGTAGGCAAAACACAATAGTCTAAGCCAGCGGTCCCCAACCTTTTTGGCATTCAGGGACTGGGGGCTTGGGCAGGGATGGTTTTAGGGTGCTTCAAGCACGCACATTTATTGTGCACTTGATTTCTATTATTGTTACATTGTGATGTATAATAATTATGCAACTAAAGTCAGTGGGAGCCCTGAGCTTGTTTTCCTGCAACTAGGTGGTGTCATCTGGAGGTGATTAAAAACAATGACAGATCATCAGGCATTAGATTCTCATAAGGAGTGTGCAGCCTAGATCCTTCACATGCACAGTTTACAATAGGGTTTGTACTTCTGTGAGAATCTAATCCTGAAGTTGATCTGATAAGAGGCGGAGCTTAGGTAGTAATGTGAGCAACGAGGATTGTCTGTAAGAACAGACGAAGCTTCGCTTGCTCACCCGCTGTTCACCTTCTACTGTTTGTTCCAGTTCCTAAGAAGCCACGGACCAGTACTGGTTCTGGTTTGTGGCCCAGGGCTTGAGGACCCCTGGTCTAATCTATCACAGAGAAAAGTCACTTTCAATAAGGCTTCATTCAGTGAACAGCTGTTGATTCACCCTCTGTAGTTCTGTCTTATAGGTAGGCGTTGAGCGAGAGAGTGAGACTGACTTACATCTCTCCCTGAGCAGGATGTGATGCTGTAAAGGTTCTAGAAGCCCTGGGAGTCCAGAGGCACTAATATCCCCACTTTCTAAAAGGGGAAAGCTAAGACCTGGAGACGTATGTCAGTGTTCTCAAGGTCCCACAGGGCCGAAGTTCTGATCAAGAGTCAGGCACTGTGAGTATTCTGTCCCTGGTACTATCTAGCAAAGAGGCACTGATCTGGAAATGGCAGTCACTGTGGGTCCGTGTCTCTAAATGTGTAACCCCATTTTCCGATTGTCGACCTAAAAGGAAAAAGCTGACGCAAAATTAATATAAGTAGAGAGTTCATTTGGGCCAAGCTTGCTTGAGGCAATCCAGGAGCACGGATTCAAGTTGCCCTGAATAGACACTTGGATTAGCAGCTGTTGCAACTGGGTTTCTAAAGGCAAATATGAGGACAAGGAGTGAACTGACATAAAGTTCTGCCAGGAATTCTCAATGGTTTACAGGTGACAGATTTGATTAGCGATTGGCTGTATATTGTTAAGCTGTAGGGTGTGGGTTGTAGTGTGTCCAGTGCAGCATGATTAGGTTAACAACAAGCAGTTCCAAGAAATAAGTACACAGCGCAAAGTGGGGGTGTTGAGTATGACTGGGGTGTCCTTTTAATATTTCATGGGCCTGATCAGTAAAAGGACTTGCATTCCTCACATAAAAGTTGTTTTCTTTTCTCATGCTCAACCAGATCGAATTTTCAAGAATATGCAATATGTCAGATTCTTTGTAACATTCATGTGCCTAATGCAATTCCTTCCATAAGGGGACGTTCAGAGTGGTATGCAATGTCTAGCAGGGCCTGAGTGGAGTAAGGTGAGCCAGGTTCAAAGAGTCTCCGCCCCACGTCCATGTAGATGGTTCCCAGTCAATTCCAGGAGCCGTGTCCAGTCCTGTGAG